TGGTAGGGCCCTAGGTCCCAAAGTCCATACTCTGAACGGCTCTTGGCACCTAAAACCCTAGTATTTGGGTTTAGGGTTTAGGGTTTGGGGTTTAGGGTTTAGGGTTTAGGGTTTAGGGTTTTAGGACCCTAAACCCTGAGCCCTAGACCCTGCCCTAATAAGAATCCCTAGATACAGCCCCTTAAAGCAGAAACCCCAGACCTATATAGCCCTTGTCTAATCGCTGCAAATTCCTAGGCGTTTAGGGTTTAGGGTTTAGCTTGGGGTTTCGGGTTTCGGGTTTAGGGTTTGGGGTTTGGGGTTTACTTGGGGTTTAGGGTTTGGTTTGGGGTTTAGGGGTTTAGAGTTTGGGCTTCGGGTCTAGGGTTTAGCCTGGGGTTTACGGTCTAGGCTTTAATTTGGGCTTCAGGGACTAAACCCTAAACCCTAAACCCTAAACCCTAAACCCTAAACCCTAAACCCTAAACCCTAAACCCTAAACCCTAAACCCTAAACCCTAAACCCTAGGGGGTTTGGGGAAAGGAGTAGGTAGCACCAAAGCATCCGAAGCCTAAAATCCCAGAAGCCCCTAATGCCTAAAGGCCTAGCGCCCCTAAAGAACGCTGATGAAATCTTCCCAGGGTTCATATATAGGTCAGAGACCCTAAACTCTAAACCCTAAACCCTAAAATCCTAGAGACCCTAATGAAAACCTCCCAGGGTTAGTATAAATTAGAAACCCCAAACCCTAAACCCTAAACCCTAAACCCTAAACCCTAAACCCTAAACCCCCCCGCCCCCCCCCCAAGGCCAACGGAAGGGCGCGGTTTCCGGAGCGTTGACGCCGCAGCCGCCGCCGTGCCGCGAAATCTCCCGCGATCTGAAGCATGTTGCCAGACCATTGAGGCCCTTTCCAGGACCTGTTTGAGGGTCCCTAAACCCTAAACCCTAAACCCTAAACCCTAAACCCTAAACCCTAAACCCTAAACCTTCTCAGGGTTTAGGTTTTAGGGTTTAGGGTTCAGGGATTATGGTTGAGGGTTTAGGGTTCAGGGTTTAGGGTTCAGGAGTTCAGGGGTTCTTGAGGGTTTCTAAACGAGCCCTGCCTATATTCTAGGTTCTATACATCCAGGAACTTTCCCAGGGTTTAGGGTTTAGGGTTTAGGGTTTAGGGTTTAGGGTTTAGGGTTTAGGGGTTCTTAAGGGTTCTCAACGAGCCCTATATTATATTCTGGGTTCTATAAATCCAGGACCTTCTTCAAGGGTTCTTAAGGGTCCCATAGAAGGGCTGCTATCGGGGCCTGAAGAATTACCAATAATATTTTGGAGGGCTCGTTATGATCGCTATCGTATAATATACCCCCCAAAGCCTTATTCTAACTCTCAAGACCCCTACTGTAGAACCCTATGCAAGATCCCTTAAAGAACCCTTTAAGGATCCCTTTAAAGGAACCCTATTCTTCTTGAAGGGCGCTGTAAAACTGACGATTAAGGCCCCTGCATGATGCGAGTTCTATGAATCCAAAGGGCCTTGATATAGGGGCCTCAATAATGGGTTTAGGGTTTAGGGTTTAGGGTTTAGGGTTTAGGGTTTAGGGTTTATCAATAATTACCTATACTACTTTGGGGGTTTCTTGTTATGTTTATAGTAAAAAAATAACTGGGCCCCAAAGCC